ACCTCCGTCTCTCTGCCACGTTCCTTGCAATTTGGACGGTGCCTTTTCTTGTTTGTGCTTTTGATTTTACAGTTATAATGTAATTTTTTATAAAGCAAAACAAAAAACCAACAACCCTGGAATCTGGGAGATTTCGGCTACCCAGCCCGGCTGCTGATAGAAAATTGGGAGTCCTAAGTAAAACACAAGCTGCCGTTTTACCTGGGCAGATCCTGGCAGGAAGTCCCATTGCACCTGGTGGGCCTTACTCCCGAGTAGACGCCTACAGGGCTGCCTTGGCAAGGCACCTCATTGATTAGAAATTTGGGCAAGGCTGCCTTTTGTGGATATGATCCTGTCTGTGACAATTTCTGGAGAAAGATGGGACCTGGGACTTTCTTGACCCAGCCTCGCCTGCCATCTGACAGGTTCCTGGTTAAGGGACGGGGCTCCAGGGATGTACAGCTTCGCCCCCTCCATCTAAACAGGAGCTGGCACCCTCCATTTGAGTCTTAAAGAGCAAGAGGCAGCAGGAATTCTCTCTAGGTAGATAATATTTTTCCCCCATCTGTCTTCTCTTATGGAGCTATTTTAGCAGTGGTCACACTGCCCTCTACAGTCCTTGTTGGGAACAGCAGGTGGTTCCTTGTGCTGTGTTCATATACAGTGGTACCTCGGGTTACAGACGCTTCAGGTTACAGACTCGGCTAACCCAGAAATAGTGCTTCAGGTTAAGAACTTTGCTTCAGGATGAGAACAGAGGCCCCGGCAGCGGGAGGCCCCATTAGCTAAAGTGGTGCTTCGGGATAAGAACAGTTTCAGGTTAAGTACGGACCTCTGGAATGAATTAAGTACTTAACCAGAGGTACCACTGTACAGTGGTACCTTGGTTTTCAAACTTAATCCGTTCCGGAAGCCCGTTCCAAAACCAAAGCGTTCCAAAACCAAGGCGTGCTTTCCCATAGGAAGCAATGCAAAACGGATCAATCCGTTCCAGGCTTTTAAAAACAACCCCTAAAACAGCAATTGAACATTAATTTTACTATTAAATGAGAGCACCGATCCATAAAATGAAAGCAATAAACCATGTACTGCAGTCACACACACAATCAATCAGTAGCTGAACTGGGTTCCACACAGTCACAAAAACAAAACAAAAAAGGGCCGCCAAAAAAGAAACGCAAAGACAGACCTCAGTGTAACACTCAAAGCGGAGCACGTTCGGCTTCCAAAAAAAGTTCGCAAACTGGAACACTTAATTCCGGGTTTCCAGTGTTTGGGTTCCAAGGCGTTTGAGAACCAAGGTTCCACTGTATTTCGGCATTTTCAACACACCATAGGTCTACTAAAAAGGGATAAAGGTAAAGGTAAAGGGACCCCTGACCGTTAGGTCCAGTCATGGCCGACTCTGGGGTTGTGGCGCTCATCTCGCTTTATTGGTCGAGGGAGTCGGCGTACAGCTTCCGGGTCATGTGGCCAGCATGACTAAGCCGCTTCTGGCGAAAGAACAGCGCACAGAAACGCCATTTACCTTCCTGCCAGAGTGGTACCTATTTATCTACTTGCACTTTGACGTGCTTTCAAACTGCTAGGTTGGCAGGAGCAGGGACCGAGCAACGGGAGCTCACCGTGTTGCGGGGATTCGAACCACCGACCTTCTGATCGGCAAGTCCTAGGCTTTGTGGTTTAACCCACAGCGCCACCCGTGTCTCCCCCCCCCAAAGGGATATTTTGTTGTTATTATTACCTCGCAGGGTTGTTGTGGGCAATCAATTGGGGTGGGGGAGAGAAAATCGTGTGCTCCAGCTCCTCAAAGTAAAATGTACGTTTGGAAACATTATACTATATAACATTATATAAATAGTGTACGAGGCATATTTCAGTCTGAGGGCCATATTTCCTCCCAGACAGCCTTCTGGGGGGCCGCACCCCGTTGTGTGGGTGGGGCTTGTGGCAAAAGTGGGCGGGGCAATGGACGCAAATTTTAACCCCTGCCAATCAGGCGACATTGCAGCCATGGGAAAGTCACAGGGACACAGCCAGCTCCATCCTTTTACCCAGGCAAGCGAGAGGGGAGGATCCAGGGCAGACAATCACACAAGGTGGGTGTGGCCTGAGGGAGAGGGCGTGGCCTATGGGAGAGGGTGTGGCTTGGGGGAAGTCCCACGGGCCACACAGATAGGCTTAGGCAGCTGCCACTCTGCATCCGGGGCTGAGAATTGCCACCCCTGGCTTTGGGAGAAAGTTGACAATTAGGGCCGACGAGAGTTTGCATTACGGGGTTGGGCTGGATGGCCTTTGGGAGCCCCATTCAATAATAATTATTTATACCCCGTCCATCTGGCTGAGTTTCCCCAGCCACTCTGGGCGGCTCCCAATCAAGTGTTAAAAACAGTACAGCGTTAAATATTAAAAACTTCCCTGAACAGGGCTGCCTTCAGATGTCTTTTAAAGATAGGATAGCTGCTTATTTCCTTCACATCTGAAGGGAGGGTGTTCCACAGGGAGGGAGCCACCACCGAGAAGGCCCTCTGTCTGGTTCCCTGTAGCCTTACTTCTCGCAATGAGGGAACCGCCAGAAGGCCCTCGGCGCTGGACCTCGGTGTCCGGGCAGACCGATGGGGGTGGAGACGCTCCTTCAGGTATACAGGACCGAGGCCATTTAGGGCTTTCAAGGTCAGCACCAACACTTTGAATCGTGCTTGGAAACGTACTGGGAGTCAATGCAGATCTCTCAGAACCGGTGTTATGTGGTCTCGGCGGCCGCTCCCAGTCACCAGTCTAGCTGCCGCATTCTGGATTAGTTGCAGTTTCCGTGTTACCTTCAAAGGTAGCCCCACGTAGAGCGCATGGCAGTAGTCCAAGCGGGAGATAACCAGAGCATGCACCACTCTGGCAAGACAGTCTGCGGGCAGGGAGGGTCTCATCCTGCGTACCAGGTGGAGCTGGTAAACAGCTGCCCTGGACACAGAGTTAACCTGTGCCTCCATGGACAGCTGTGAGTCCAAAATTACTCCCAGGCCGCACACCTGGTCCTTCAGGGGCACAGTTACCCCATTCAGGACCAAAAGTTCGTTTCAGCTGGACTTGCCAGACCCCTTATCTGACGGTCACGAGTGTCGGCACCAACGCCAGGGGTTTAAAATCCCCACTGCCTGAAACCCACAGGAATCCCATCCCAGTGCCATTATCCGCCGCTCTTTAGGAATAAGTCATGACCAAAACATCTCTGCTAATGGAGCGGTTGTTATAAAGCCATCGAGGGGAAATAATGCACGGGTTTTCCCTCCAGGCCGCCGGCGAAAGGGCCAGAATCAGCCATTCCTGAAGGGTGACGTGGATTTTTTTAAAAAAACGGGAGAATTTGGAAAGAGATGTTGAAGAAGAAATGAGAAGCTCTGGGACAGAGGCGACTGCGCACAAATATTCCACAATTGGTAGCGTTTTGACTGCTTCTTTCGCTGCCGATTGTGTTTATATACAGTGGTACCTCGGGTTACATACACTTCAGGTTACATACGCTTCAGGTTACAGACTCTGCTAACCCAGAAATAGTGCTTCAGGTTAAGAACTTTGCTTCAGGATGAGAAGAGAAATCGTGCTCTGGCGGTGCGGCGGCAACAGGAGGCCCCATTAGCTAAAGTGGTGCTTCAGGTTAAGAACAGTTTCAGGTTAAGAATGGACCTCCGGAACGAATTAAGTACTTAACCCGAGGTACCACTGTACATGTGTATTTTTGTGTGTGTATGTACATGTGAGGATAGCCAAATCTGTGCTTTTCAGTTTCAATTTCTTGGTTCCTTCCAGTCACCCCATTGAGATCAAACCTCTCCATTCTGAAGGAAATCAGCCCTGAGTGCTC